TTTATAATAACAACATACTTTGAATCAAAATTATCTATTCTGCCTACATTGTGGGCCCAGACCAAGGTCTAACAATGTCAAATAGAAATATTAACAACCCATAGGAAATAATAATTTAAAATAGATATATTATCCAATTGCTTTTGTGAGACTATTATTCTACTTTTAGTGCCACTAAAAATAATAATCTTTCTACTCACAAAATTTATATTTTTCATTTAAGAAGATTGTGGTGGTTGAAACTATTCTTTAACAACTTATCTATTGGAGTTTGTATATGAGCCTTGCTTTCTTCAATCAGAACAATAATAGATTTTGGAAATCAAAGTCACTGGGCATATAAATATATTTCTCACTTCAGGTATTTTGGTTTCCTTTGCTAATTTTCTCAATCACTTTAACGAGAAGAAATTATTTCCCCCTGGTTATATATTTTGAAAGTTTCTAATTTGTTTTTCTTGACATTGAGCCTGATGCTATTTCTCACTATAGATAAACCATTAGGAATGCTTTATTTGCCAGAAGAGACTGTGGTTGACAGGCTGAAAGGGTAGATACACTGGGATTGTGTATGGAAACTCCTGCAAATCTTCAAATGCTTTTACTGGGTAACCAACTCAGTTTCAAGATCTTGGTTTTTATCTCCATTTAGTTTAAATAAAGTAAATATATGTCTTTGACCTTATCTACTGTACCTGCTTATATCCTGATATGTGTAGGGTCCTCAATCAGACCCTAGTGGTTATATAAGTTTATATACAAAAGCCAGGGCATATACTTTGTGATCTTGACTATTTGTCTCCTCCTTTTATGTTCTACAGGAGTGAAAGCCATAGTCTCCTGACCAGTGCTGGTTGTCAATATCCAATTGTTAAAATAAATCACGTTAGTTCCACCCCTGGCGGGGTGGCTCAGTTGACTGGAATGCCGCTCAATACACGAAAAGTTTTGGGTTTGATCCCCAGTCAGGGCACATACCTAGGTTCCTGGTTTGATCCCTAGTTGAGGCATTTAGGAGAAGCAAACAACCCACGTTTCTGTCTCACATCAATGTTTCTCTCTCCCTTCCTCTCCCTCTAAAAATAAATAAACATATCCTTAGTGAGGATTTTTTAAAAAACCATGTTAGTTCTACTATATAAACCTTACAATCTTTCAATATCAATAAAAGGAGAGATTTGAGTCCAAGGCATTTTTAAGAGTTTGTTTTAGCTAAAACCCCATATCTCTGTTTCTATATTTGAAGTTGTTATTTAAAATTCTCTAATGGAGGTTGTTGATTCAGGGAAATATATCAATAGAAAACATAATATTGTTTACCATAATTTTCCCAAGTATTTTTGTTCATAACAGACTTTCAAATCTGGTGTCCACCCTGGCCTTCCCACACCAGAATCCTGGGAGTCATTCTAGAATCCTCTTTTCCTCAGTATAGCAAAGTATGATGTTTTTACTGGTTGACATTTATTTCTAGATGCTGAAGGTGGGAGAGGAATTGTGTGACCTTTAATGGTTTTTAATTTTCTTTTGTTTCAAAGGACCCTAAATTGTTGCCTTACTCTTTCTTTTCTCCTTCATTGTGTGGTTACCAAAAACCCCTCTCCTTTTCTTCCTTTGTTGTTTTAAGCAGCTTTGAGACAGAATTTACCCACTTAAAGGGTACATTTAAATGGTTTTTATTATAGCCACAGAGCTGTGTGACCATCACCACAATCTAATCTGAGAACATTTTGTCTTTCACAAAGAAACCCTGTTCCCATAGCAGTCACTCCCATTCCCTCCCATCTCTCCCACCCGCCCTAAGCAATCACTATTTGCTTTTTATCTGCACAGTTTTGTCTGTCCTGGACATTTCATATAAATGCAATCATACGAGGGGTAACCTTTGGCAGTCTTTCCAAAGAAATGTGCCTCCTCACATGTCTGTATGCACCGAAAGCTTCTTTCCTAAAGCTCCGTGTTCAGGGACCAGAACACCTTTTCATCATTTTTAGTTCTTACAGAATTGCCTTTCTTCTCCATGAAAGCTTTCGGTGGAAGCATGGAAGATAATTGATTGGCATCTCTATTGTTTTTCATAGTTCATTTTCTAGGTAACTTGAAGCTGGATGTCATTGTCTTCTAATTATACTGAAGGCATGGGTTTTGTATAGTTTCATTTGTTCATTTTGTTGTTCTCTTAGTGTTTTGTGTTTGTTTGTTTTTCCTTTTGGAAGAAATATTGGAGAATTCTTATTTACATTGCGGCCATTGTCCTGGAAACTTTGAATTCCTATAACTTCTTTTCTGGGCTCCAAATATTTGGGGCCCCGATAGAGGTTAATTTGGAATTTTACTATATGACTAGCAAGGCTTACGTTAGGTTCTAACTTTATTTATTTGCTTTCTCCAGATAGAGTCTAACGCAATAAAATCCTCATCTCAAGAGACTGCATTTTCAGGTTATGACTCAGTATTATTTTTGTGAGGCACATTTTGGAAGAACAATACTGGGTCTAAGAGATGTTTCCTGAATCATCTTGTAATTCAGAAGTCATCCTCTTATTATAAAAAAATTATTGTGTAGATTTATTATAAACAATTGTCTTAGAGGATTTTTATATTTCTAACGATAACTGTGAAAGTAGGAGATAACAAATATAATCTTTCCTTGGGAGATAAATGTAACAATAAAAGGTAGAAAGACATGAAATATATCTTAAAACTTAAGGAGCAATAATCAGTCTTAGAAATTCACTGACATTAGCTTATTTTGTTATTTCTGAATTACTGATTTTCATAGAATACAACAACAAACTGGTAAAAAACAAACCTTGGCAATCACAAAGTCTAACTCCATTAAAAAAATAATAAAACAAATGAGTCTAAATAAATTTCTTAAAAATCACAAACATGTTAGGGATGAGGCTGAATTTGAATCAGTTAGCTTTTGCTGTGTAAAAATCCAACCCAAAACATAGTGGCCTAAATGATCATTGATGTGGCTCATAATTCCGGGGTTGGCAATTTGGATGCAGATCAGCTTAATGCATTTCCTGTTGGCCTTCTCGCAAGTATCACACTCAGATGTTGGATTGGCCAGAACCTGAATTATCTAAATGATCCCACCTACATATTTGGAGTTGGACAGGCTCTTGGCCAGGGCCACAAGGATAACTGGGCCATGTATCTCTCAACAACCCAGAGGCAGCCTGAGTGAGTTCACAGGCTGGCAACTGCAGGGTTCCTGAGAGCAGCGGGGGGGGGGGGGGGACTTGATACTTAAGACTTGTGCTAGCGCAGCTTCATTTCCACTGAGGCCTATAGGCCCAAGCAAGTCACAAAGGCAGACCAGATTCAAGGGGTGGGGAAGCAGATTCTACCTCTTCCTGAAAGGAACTTACTTCAAAGCATTTGAAAACCTCCTGCTTTTGTTTTCCCAATTTCACAACCCCTCGGAGTTAATTTCCAGATAAGCAATTAGATAAGATAGCTTACTCCTCTATTTAAGAGTAACATTTTTTAATGAAATGTGTCTCTATCCAAAAGGTTATACATGAAATGGAGCTTGAAGAATGAGTTCTCCAGACAGAAATGTAAAAATTGTATCTAGCTATAAAAACAAAACAAAACATGGGAAAGCACAGAATTTAAGAGAGAAGGATAGGCTTTGTGTTAGTGAGAAAATCAACATGGCTCATGGGTTAGATCGTGTGGTAGAGAATGGAGAAATGTGGGTAGAACGGATGGAGGGGCCTTCTGATATCCAGGGTGTCTTTCCATTCAAAGCAGGGGCTCTGCTACCCAGTTTCATTCAAGAAGATGCATGTAGTTCCCACAAAGGAGCAGTAAGGTAGAATTTCCATTTTGGTAAGGCTTTCTGCCCTCCCCCATTTCCCACCAGAAGAGGAAATCTGAACAAATACAAGTTCTGTGAATTGAAGGATACTGGTGCAGAGCAGAGATTCTATGGAAATTCAGGGGACAGGAATTTTATTATCAAAACAAGGACATGATGGCAGCATGAACCAGAACTTTGGGTCCAAGAAAGAGCCCAGTAGTCTCTATAGGTCATGTCATCAATGAGTCACAGATCTAAGTGACAGTCCAGAATTTCAGAGAAGAGAACATAAATCCGTCAGCCCACCAGGTGGTTCTAGCCCAGCACTTCCTCTCTCAGAATGAGCTCAGAAAGTGAGACACCATGAGCCCTGCAGGTGGGAGACATTGATGGGCTTGATAAGAACAGACAGAGGAAAAGGCAAAATCAATACGATTACAAAGCTCCTTGTGAACTTGGCACGTTACTTACTACTGTAACTCAGAGGGAAATAATCTTTCAACTCATTTGCAACCTTATAAAAATTTTATGAGCTAAATAATGGCCTTTTTAAAAAAACAACAGGACTATATTTATGACTTCTTTCTTAAAGATGATAAAATAATGTAAGCAACATGAAGTGATACCGATAAAATGTTACTTTATATCCTTCTGTTTAAATGGAAACATAACAGCTTTCACTTGTTCATATCCATCTAGTACAATTTTCTATTTCTCAGTGGTTCTCTACCTTCTGGCCCTTTAAATACAGTTCCTCATGTTGTGACCCAACCATAAAATTCGTTTCGTTGCTACTACATAACTGTAATCTTGCTACTGTTATGAATCCTAATGTAAATATCTGATATGCAGATATCTTAGGCGACCCCTGTGAAAGTGTCCTTCCACCACCAAAGAGGTCTCAACCCACAGGTTGAGAACCGCTGCAACTTAAAATTGGTTTAATCATATAGGGCGTCCCCAAAAGTGTATATACACTTTGAATAATTAATTGCAATGTTTCTTTTCAGGTTTAACCCAATGGAATTAATAATTATTTAAAGTGTGTATACATTTTTGGGAGGAGGCACCCTGAATACACCATCGCATAGTTACTATTTGTATTCTGCCCTGTGTTTGCAGTTGAGTCCCTACTTACAGATCGATTACCTGCTTGTTTTTTTTTGTTTCTTCTTTTCAGAGGATCTTATCATATCCTTCACAGTGTCCATGGCTATCGGGCTCGTGATCGGAGGATTTATTTGGGCTCTGTTCGTCTGTTTGTCCCGAAGAAGAGCGAGCGCCCGCATCTCCCATTGGAGTTCAAGTCGGCGACCTCGGTCTTCGTACACCCACGGCCCCACCAGGCCTGGGTTTTACCGCCACAGCGGCTGCGAGCGCCGCAGCAACCTCAGCCTGGCCAGCCTCACCTTCCAGCGACAAGCGTCCCTGGAACAAGGCAACTCCTTTCCCAGAAAGTCAAGCTTCAGGGCTTCCACGTTCCATCCATTTCTGCAAAGTCCACCACTTCCCGTGGAAACTGACAGTCAGGTGATGACGCTCCCCGCCTCCCCGACCTCCCCCGCCCTGCTCACCGCTCACAGCCTGCGGCGCCCCGACTTCCACTGGTCCAGCAGCAGCCTCCCCGTGGGCCTGTCCCCGCCGCCCCCGCCCACCTACGAGTCCATCATCAAGGCGTTCCCAGATTTCTGACAGGAGCTTTTGTTCGCCTGGTTCTTTCTTTCCTTGTCTTTTCTCGAAAGGAAATCATAAACAGACTAAACAGAATTTTGAGGCCATGGCCCAAACGACCAAGGAGTTCCCCAACTGGAAAATGCTCAGACAAGTTGGACGTTACAATGTACATTTCCTCTGATCCCATTTTTTCCTTATCTCACAAATACGTAATATTTTCGCAACTCGTTGTATATTTATGTATTTTGTACTCAATGTGAGGATTCTTAAAAGTCGTGATTCTAATCGAAGAATCACCAGTAATACAGTATATATAATTTAGTCTAAAATAAAACAAAGGTGGTG